TAGTCATTCTATAACAAAAAAGGCATAATTTATATTTATTTCCTAATTTTTTATGGTGGTTATGAGATCGGTCAAATCGACCAAACCAATACAGAGATTCATTAGTGAAAATAACATATAAAATGTAAAGTTTTTTCTTAAGAAATGTTTGATAGCTATCTGGACATTATAAGGATTTCTCATGTGAAATTTGAAAATTTTCTGATACATAAAAGTATTTTTAATCTTAAAATGAAAATTACTTTGCATGTTGGATAGGCTACATGCAAAAAGAAAAAAATACATGAGAAACCATTGCTTAACAAACCTTACAACTTAATACAAAATATGATATTTTGCATATGAAAGCACTGTAATGTTTACTGATAATATGCCAAATTTCATAAACATACATTTATTAATTTAAAAATTATAGCATGAAAACTACAACAAGCACAAAATTGTTATGAGGTCGATCCCATGGACCAAGCCTGTGCTCAAAGAGTTAAACCATTAATTCAAATGCTGTTTCTGATTGCAGTGTCATAAATCATGCAAAACATAAAAGCAGCATCCACTTATTTCTTGGGAAACGAGTGTTGTTCAGCACAGAATAATTTACAGGAGTGTTTGGCTAATGATTCAGAATATAAAATAGTATAAAATAATATTTTGAGCAAATAAAATATTTTATTGTAAAGGCAGGCCATACTCTGTATCTAAGTTTCCAGTTTTTACAAAATATTTAGGTGAAACTAAAAGCATATTGGATACAATTCTAACTTACCATTTCCTTTGCTGCCTTCATCATTATTGGTACCTAAACCTTCAACCCATGAAAGGACCTGAGAAAAATTGTAACACAATTCTTTGAATGTAAATTAAAGAACAGATCTTTTCTTGCCTGTCTCAAAGTAACATTTAGATTAAAAGACAAAATAAATGCTGAGTCTTAGTCATAAGCAAAAAAACAAAAACCGTAACTAAAAGTATTTTAAACGACATTTTGGAAACTACAGCTGTTATACAGGAATACATATATACATATTTAACCCTTTCATTGCGGCTGAGATGTATATTTCCCAGTGCTCCCACCCCCTCACACTGCGACTGGAACATATGTTTCCCATTGTCATTCAAAATTGTGGCACATGATGCATGAAAGTAAAATAAGTTAGAAAGTATTTATTGGCATACCACCTAATGTTGATGCATGGTTTCTCTCAATGTTTTCATCTCAGCCCTTCAGTAACCAGCAAGACGCCTAAGCAGAATGTACGACAACTGTGTCCCAACCATGCCCACATTGCTATAGAAGCGAGTAGTAACCCTAATTACTATGTAACTATGCCTGATGCGCTTGACTCAGATAGCTTAGAAGATAGTGAAAGTGAGACCAGTGGTGTTCAAATGTGTGATGATGAAGAGACAATGAGACAAGATAATGCTAGCTCTCCATCTAGTGATAATAGTCAAGATGATGAACTTGGACCTAGCAGAGGAAGGCATAAATAGTGTCCACAATGGGAAACATTTGTCCTAGTCACAGTGTGAGAGGATGGGATAACTGGGAAATATACATCCCAGCTACAGTAAATGAGTTAAAAACATCTTGTGGCTTATGCAACAATGTATTGACCAGAGGTTACACACTTTTCTATTACCAATTGCCAAAACTCTACTCATAAAAAGCTTGTGGTGTTAACTACAAATTCTAGTGATTTCTGTAAAACTGGTATACGGCAGACTTAGTAACACATGCCAACTTACATGAAGTACTTGGACAGTGGCACTACTTTAGGCTTGTTGTGAAATTTAATTATGCTACTTTTTTAAAACTGATATATCATTACCAAATATTAAAGGAAGTTGTCTCATGTGCCACAAATTTGTAACCCTTCACATAGACCTTGGTAACTAATGACAAAACATTTGGCAATATATTGATAGTCTATAATCTATCTGAACCTCTAAAGTGCAGTTCTCAAAAGTTCTCACAGAATTATAGATGAGTTATATTTTCCTTTCAAGTCTCTATGCTCCAAAAATGCAATGTTTTATAGCGCTATATGTCATTTACACTAAGCTCATGTACACAAAGAAAACAAAACAAACATGTTCACATAATATGCCAAGCAACAAAGATAGAAAATTGTGAAGTTTATTGTCATTATTTTCTTAAAATGAATTACTTATAATTGCCTTGTCATACCTTAAAAGCTATCTTATGTAAATTTCTTGCAGATATTATTTCAATGACTATACATGGATAAATAATTATATTGGTCAGAAAAACCACATTAACATATCAATATGCTTTGAAAGTAAAATGCTATTATGAAAACCCATCACATTAGGAGCATAGCAATAAAAATCTGCTATTATTTAAAATGATAAGGAAGTGATCAAATAAGATAATTCATATAAAAGTGTATTTGAAATAAATGAAAAATGTGTTAACTATTAATATGAATGTATAGGGAACATTAAAAAATGTTTTTTTTTCAACTTGTACATGAAGAAGCTTTTAGAGCTACAGTACTTATCTTTAAAAAAATGGAGTCAAATGAGTAAATAAACAACAAATATTGCCTTACATCAGGCCATATTTTATTGGCCAGTTGCCCAACAATTCTCTCTACCAAGCCATCTAACTCAGCACGACTAAATTTTGATGGAGGCATACCTGTGTTTTTCACATCTAAAGTCATGTCAGAATTTCCATTCCTAGTAAAAGTCAGAAAAACTAGAAATTATCCATATGTAACGCAACACTGATAAAATAAGGATATCGTTATTTTATATATCTAGCTAAACTTTTGAAGTCAAAATTAATAAAACTATAATACAAAATTTAACTTAATCATGCAATTATAAATTTGAAATGAATAATGTTTTCATGAAGCTTCAAACTAATTGACAATGCTTACATAATTATATTATTCAAACTATATCAAAAAATCAATCATTCCTAGCCTGTAATTGTGCAATAATTTATTGTTTTATTAAAATTAATAAGACACATAAATGTTTAAAATTAGAAAAAAATCTGAATTTTAATGTTTTATGAGTTTTTATAAGTAAATATGAAATATTCCAACACTGTAAAATTAACCTAGTTGCTCAGGAAGACGCTAAATAAGTGAAGCCATTTGAAAGTGCCCAACAAATAATTTTGGACAGAACTATGTTAAAGTCTCAATTTCTTAAAAAACAACACAATTTTATTAATATCAAACACAAAAAAGTTTTATAAGTGTATGAAAATAAGAATTTGAGCAGTTTCAATAGAAGCAAAGGACAAGGAAAATTAAACAAAAAAAATATGAATTTATTGTATAAATAGTCTATAAGATGTAAAATATTTAAGCTTGAATAACATTCCAAAATTCATTCATTTTTAAAAAAAATTAAAAGATGTATTACCTCATTAAACTGCTATTTCTAGTAGGGTTAATACTCTAAAAAGTGTTATGAAGACTAATAGCTTACGTTATTGTATGTATTTAAGCTTACGATAAACAAATTTTCTCCTCAAAAGATTATCATTCCTATAATAATGCGAGTAGTGTAATGAAGTTAATTTTATTTAAATATAGGCTATAATTAGACTGAATGTACAAACTCAAAAATACCATTACTTTATTTGGCCATAGAGACATGCAAGCTGTTTAAGGAAAAACTATGTACATTTTTCTATTAAGTGTATAAACAAACAAACGTTTATAAAAACAAACAATATGAAGCTAAAATACTAGAAACAAATTTCATCCAAGTTATTCACTATACATTCTTCATGAATTTAACAGTAATTCCTTCACTTTTTACCCAGGATCACAAACAAGAAGCTCTTGATATTCTCCTTCCTGAATTAACACTTCCTCCACAAAGTCTCTTCCCTCTTTCACATGGAAATCTAATGATGAGCAGTCTTGTTCACTTTGCTCTTCTGAAGGAGGTTCTATTACATTTAGGTGTTGACCTTGGATTTTCAGTCTACAGAAAAATATAATATTTGGTTTTACAGTTGTAAGCAATTCCACTTAAAAAAATACAGCTTAATATTCAGTTTTATTCAAAGCAAGCTACCTGCATTGATCAAAACTAAATATATACTGTTCTTAAGTTATTACTTATAAAGATTAGAATGCATAATTTCATCAATTAGGTACCATTCCTGTTAGCAATATTTTTAATGATAATCCCAATATCATTTCATGAGGTTAGTCCTAAGTCCATATACTAAGATAAAGATGCAAAATAATCTGTATAACAACAAATAATAAAACATTAAACATGATAAAAACAGATATATATTAAACATTCTAAGTACTACCATCAATGAAAGTAACATTAAAAAGAACAAAGTATTCCCTTTCTTATGGAACACACTGCTCAGTTCATTGTTGCCCAATGAAGACTCCGGTAAGAGGGACAAAAGCTCACAAATAAAAGTATTTTAATGTAGAGAAAAGTCTGTGTACAATTCTACATAATAATTTACATATGTTATGAGTCTTAAACAACAATATTAAAAGGTGTGCCTAACAGAACTAATCTGTGTCACATTACATCACACATGGAGTAGGCAACAGGAAGTAATGAATAAAGTTAAATTCTGAGGAGTAGAAGAAAACATAAGAACGCTCACAACAATAACACTTAGTAAATGAAGTAACAAGAATGGTAAATGTTATAATTTGTTTTGAGCAAAAACTAATGTAACTTAACTAATGGCTTAGCATTATACTTTATATCAGGAATGGTAAACATCATTATTCTTAAGCAAAACCTAATGTAACTTAACTAATGGCTTAGCATTATACTATATATCAGGAATGGTAAATATCATCAGTCTTGGGCAAAAACTAATGTAACTTAACTAATGGCTTAGCATTATACTATGTATATACTGTTGTAAAGCTAGTATTAACTATTTTATATTTTAAACTATTGGTGGTCACCATACTATAGTGGTTCATTATTACCTTAAACAATATCTATGAAATTGAGGTGTAGACATGAAAGTTTATGATATTCTGTAAAACTTTTAAACCCATAATTGGTAGCAAGAAGTTTGACGAATTTCCTGTAAACTTAACAAACCTGGTATTAAAAATGCAGTAGGAGAAATCTTGTTTGTGACAAATGAGGGCAAGTTTTTGAGCTCTGTCTACAAAACCTTATGTCGAACAAATTCTATTGTATCTTATAAGCTGTGAGTAGTAAATATTATAACATAACTTAATTGGAATATTTGTACTTAAACATGAACAATTTATAATTTAGAAATAAAAGGTTTCATTAAAAACTCTGAATTTAAATGTTTGATTAACAATGCTGATATCTAAATCAAGGTAGTTTGCTTGGTTTTTAATGAAAGTAAAAAAATATCGTCATTGTATCTACAAGTGTGTGACTGATGTGCAAAACTTCATTATAAGAGTTGTTAAGTAAGAATATTCAGGTTTGAATAAACATGGATCTACAACTTGTGGGTTCATGTTACCTCCCATATGTGTTCCTTGTATACATTAGAAGATATGTCTGTACAACTGTATTGTCAAATAGAAGATACATAACTTGTAAGAATTTGATTATTATGAAACAATCATAATTCTTATGAGTAATATTCTCATAGAAACATCTGCTACAATAATGAATGATTTGATGCCAGTTCTTTCTCTGTTAATATTACAGTATTTTTTTTAAATACTTTAAATGTTTCAGGCCATTACTTATCCGTTTTTACAAGTCCTTAATCATAGCTTTATTAGCAACAGTAATAAACCTGTATTTGTATGGTGCTTTGTGTATTTCAGGAATCCAATATAAGTTAGATATTACATCACAAGTTACTGAATTTATATCAAACTCTGAGAAAACTGTTACCTGAAGATTTCAGTGTTTTAAGTTAAACCTAGTTCTTTAGATAGCTATAATATAATTTTTTTTAGAAATGAAAATAAAGTTGGTAGCCAGCTTATTAGCAGGAGTAATGCCTACTATGCAAAGAATCTAAACATTCAATAACTTAATTTTTCACCCCTAACATGTTTCTTGTTATTAATAGTAAATTTCTGAATATTTTTATGGATTATGTCTTCAATTCTAATTATTCATTCTTTAAATAGAATTACTTTTAATTTCTCGTTTTTTATTCTATTTAAGTGAAACTTTTTTGAGTGATTTACTAATTACTTGTTTAGTGTGTTCCCATTAATTTCAGTTGATTTCCTGAATTTAGAAACCTTTGCTCATTAAGAGTCTCAAATAATCATTAATTATGATGTGAATGCTACTGGTGAGTACATGGTCAAGAGAAGAATAAATAAAAGAAGCTGAATTGCATCTTCATAGATAGCATAAAATGTTGTATTACTCTTCACAGGTTAAGTTTTCAAACACATTATTATAATCAAAGATTCTACTGCCAATGGTACTCTTTGCAAGAGCATCTAATAATACTTGGATATATGTATCAGTATGCACATTAAAAATGTTCAAAATGTAAAGAAAATATCATAACATTCACATTCAGTCACCAAAAACAGCAAATGACTGATTATCATAAATTTAAATGAAAGTGCTGTTCGTATCTCATATATTTCAACAACACACAGTATTGCAAATAATTATGGAAAAACACAGGTGATACACATATAGGGGTTGCAAACAATGTGTAATTACAACTAAATGTTCAACTTATCATTAGTAAAATATATTACTGAATGTACAAAATAAAAGTGAATTAGTTGTACAATGCACTAGTATTTTGTATTTTCTATCAACACATCTGTACACCTTATTTTTATATTATCATAAGTTTATCAATGCATAATGAAGAGCAATAAGAGACATTGCATATTCTCGCCCCGTTGCTCCTTTTCGAGATTACGTGCATTTACATTGGATAATATCAAATTTCACCTTCGAAAACTTAGAAAATTCTTCTCAAATCCAGAATGATCAATGATCCAGATTATTTTTTGTAGTGTGAGAAAGAGTTTCAAGCTTAATGTGCCCAGAAATTTGGTACAAATCCAATCACACTTTACAGAGTTATTAACTCCAAATCATGAAAATTCCCTATCTCTCCATTATAAAAAATTCTTCATAGTGATCCAGAATCCAAATTTGGATTAAATTTGGGGAGAAATATCCCATACTGACTTCCTATCTTGTGTAAACTTTTTGTATACATCGGTCTATTAGTTTCTGAAATATGCACACAGAAACACAGACAGACAGAAACACACACACACCCAATTGTAATACCCCACTCCCATCCAGCTAAAACTTTTATTTCTATATATTTGTCATTCTTTTATTTTCCTTGGAGCAACTGTATTATTATACATGTATCTCACTTTCAAGATTAGGCACAAATGATTGCCTGTAGTTTTATATGCATTCTGCTGAAGTTGCACTGTCTCACTAATTGGATGACAGCTAATCACAATGTAAACTATCAATATGTGACTGTATTATGATGTAGTTCATTTTTATATAAGAGTTGAGGGGACCAATTTCATAACTTTTGTCTTTTATGCCCATTTTATTAACTGTTTCCATAATTATTTCAAATACTGTACATCACATTCCAATCTAAATAAATTTAAAATCCTCATACTAACTCAGCAGGAATATCAACAGAGTCTATATAAGGCTCATCCTGAACAAGGTTTTCACTACTTTTCTTAGGTGGAATAAACTGTACTTCATCAACAGATGGCATCAGTTGTTCTCCTAAAATCCTATTGGTTACCAAAAAAGAAATGCCAACAATTAAAATTTATATGTGAGAATTAGAGAATTCCATCTGTGCTCATCATTTACAAGGTAAATGGAACATTAGAAAAGAAGTGACAAAATATGACACTCATCTGAAATTCTTAAGGAAAACTGAGAAAAAAATGTTTGGCAGTTAAAACTTTATCATTTTTCATCTACCGAAAATAGATTTTCAATATATACTTACCACCCTCACATAACAGCTTTTCTCAATCTTCTACTGCCTTCTAATGCAATGAAAATAGTTTTTTCTCACTTAAAGCACTAGCCCTTCTACACCATAAGTTCAAGCTCCTCATCTAGTATGCACAGAACATGCAACAACCTTCCACCAATAGGAACACAACACGGCCTCCTGGAGAAGCTGGCTCCTTCTATATTATTTTATGTGTACCTCACTTTCAAGATTAGCCACAAAAGAAACATAATAACACTGAAAGTGGGGAGTAAAGGTGGAAAGTATATGAGAGAGAGGTAAGTATCTATCGGAAATCTATTTTCAGTGTAAGAAAATGATAAATTCTGGTACAATACACACCTCTTCTCACATAACAGCCATAATCCCACATTAAGTAGGTGGAAGGACTGGCATAATATATATAAAAAAAAAAAAGAGACCTCCATGGAAAGCATTTGTAAAGAACCAAACATGGATGCTTTGTAATAGATGGGAAGCACACTTGTGGGGAACTGCACCACATCTGGAACAGGTATGCTCTTTGCCCTCGAAGAAGCGGAGTGTTGTGAAACAGGCAGCATTGAGGCTGGGACTATTAAAACAAAGGGCCTTGGAGAACAAAATAACAGCATATACTTAATCCAAACTGTACAGACAAGGTTTCACATCCCATCCTCAGTATTATGAGGTGGAGTACTGTCCAAAATAACAACAGTACTGTGGCTAGGGCGAAGGACCATGAGTAATATATACACCAACCCCAACCGTAAGTAAATAGAGTGCTACACAGCAAGCAACCAGAATTACGATGAGGAAGTAGGCAAACAGGAACCTTCAGACAATCTTCCAAATCAACCATAGGAGACAGGAAGTACAACAAACTTAACCAGGAATTACGGGACTGTGTCTAAGCCTCAACCCAACCATAAGAACAGGGAGTCATCTTTGAACTTGGTACAACAAGCAGGGAAAGAATAAACTCAACCTAACCATAAAAGCAGGAAAGAAAATCTTTGCACCAAGCACTACAAGGAGTATCTGGAACTTCCACTCAACCATAAGGATAAAGCATCATATGTCCTGCAACTGATATTAACAAGGTGGATGAAGTTCCCTTAAGCTCAACCGTGGATGAAGTTCCCTTAAGCTCAACCGTAGGAGCAAGTAAATGAAAACATCCTGCAACTGGAATTACCAAGAAGAGGGGATTCTACTCATCTCAACTGTAAGAACAGAGCACTATCTATCTGAACCCAGTATTATGAGAAGAATTCAGCATTGGCTGGTCCAGCTCCCACCTAGATCAGCACTTCTTGGAACAAAACTTCAGTAGGGGGAAGGAGGGAGAGTTCCCAGCTTTGCCCTCTTCTCAAATGAATGTAGTGATATGTAACATTATGACATGTGTTTGACACTCATGAGAAAGCCTCTATGGTCCACAACCTCAATGGTTAGAAGCTGGGAAGTGGCAAGGACTCTCAAATTCCACTCGATGAAAGGATAGGTAAAAGATGGTTGGGTGTCTGGAAGAACGTCTCACCTTAGAGAGTGCAATGGGTGACCATAAAACCCTATTTTGAAAAGCAAATTGCTCATGATTTATTCAATCAAAGAAGTGGCAGGGATGAGCAGCAATCTCCTTCTGCTTCACTCATTATGGTCCATAAGTGACAATCTGCCAAATACTTAACAGAAGACTACATATAGAGAAATATAAATAGATATACCACTACGTAAGCCACCAGTGATCTTGCGGAACACCCCATCTCAAGAGTGTGCATTATCACCATAAATGTATCTGGTGTAGGTTTAGAGAAAAGTATACCTGACCAGGCAACACCTGCCACTGAGTGGGATAGGAGTAGTTATAGAAAAAAAAGAGACCCTTGGAATAAAACAAAATAGGAAAAGACACTTAAGTTAACCCTTTCCACATAGGTCACAAGTCAAAGGCCATGTCATCATGTTTGTTGACTTGCATTCAAAATTTTATTGAACTACTATTTTATGAATTTATGTCATTAAGTTTGGTATCAAACTGTAGATTATAATTCAGATTTTACTATTATACACTATTTAATTTCTTAATCTAAAAGTAAATATTAAAAAATCACCTAAACATCATTTTTTGTGTGTCACATGGTATGTTGAATGCAGAACTAGTTCAGATTAGATGTTTGTGGTGTCAAAACACAAAGTCTATAGTTTTGTACGAATTAGGAACTCAAATTACGAATATCGACAAGCTAGAATATAAAATAAGAACCTCCTATCTTTTGTATTTGCTGGAAACGCTCCCTTATATACACTTACTTCAATATATGACATATAAATAACCAATCAAAAGTTCAGAATGTCCCCTAGTGGCTTTCTCAGCCATTTTCAAGTAGAACAAAGTCACTTCATTCTTTCGATACAAATCTTCAAGTTGGTAAGGTCTTTAGTCAGCCCCAAATGTAACATTTTGTTTGAACCCAAAACAGCTTAGTTACTAAACTTGATAAATTATAATAGAATTCTATGATATTGATATAGTAATTTATGATTTTTTTAGATATTTCAAATATTTATACATAAAACCTAAAAAAAATTACTTTGTTTCACATCCTCCACATGCAAAATTTTATAAGGCTTAGCAACCTACAACAAACAGCAAACAAGTACAAAGGTCGTAACTAGAAGAGATACTTACTTGCTTTACTTCTTTATTTACTGTTCTATGTTTTTAAAAAAATAAGTTTAAAAACTTATTCGTAAATAGTAATATTCTATATACATATATTATGTACAAAAATTGAAATGAAACTGTATTTTACAAAATACTAGTCCACTAAAACACAGCCAAGAAAGGTCACTTTGTACAGACTAAAGGTCGGTTTTATATTATTGGATATGGTAACACGACTCCATGTGCTCTGCGTCACTATAACTTCTGTATTGTTAATGTTAAGATAGACACAGCTGAAAGGTCAATATAATAAAAATAATAAATATATATAAATGTATAATGTTATGAGATTTAAGCTATTTAGTCTAAATATTTGTGTTTTAATGGTATAATCTGTAGTCATTCTAGAATGAAAAAGACATAATTTATATATTTTCTTAATTTTTTATGGTGGTGGTGAGATTGGTCAAATCGACCAAACCCATACAGAGATTCGTTAGTGAAAATAAAAGATAAAATATAGTTTTTTCTTAAAAAATATTTGATAACTATCTGGATGTTATAAAGATTTTGCAAGTTTGAAAATTTTCTGATGCATAAAAGTATTTTTAATCTTAAAATGAAAATTACTTTGCGTGTTGGGTAGGCAACATGCGAAAAGAAAAAATGCATGAGAAAAACATTGCTTAACAAACATTAAGTCTTAATAAAAAAATCTGATATTTTGTGTATGTAAGCCTTGTAATGTTAACTGCTAATCTGCCAAATTTCATGAAAATTATAACAAGGACAAAATGGTTACGAGGTCAGTCCCACCAAGCCTGTGCTCAAAGAGTTAAAGTCAAACCAGTAAACCAGTGCACACAGAATTGCCAGAGGAGGTAAATGATATCCACGAGAGAAGGATACAGGCAGATGGCACAGGTAATGAGAGACAAAAGTATGGGGAGCAGTCCACATTCCTACCTGGATGATCTCCTCCAGAGGATGACAAACATGAGCAGCTAGAGACATGGTGAAGCTGATGAATGAGATATGATAAAGAAGACGCCCTTCCAAGAAGAAGGTAGATTAAGCCAACTGAATAAGCTGACAAACCCAACCCGTAAGGGTGATAGGAAAAAGGTCATGTGACACAGAAAGGATCCAGGGAATAAACAAATTTGACCAGAAAGAATTATAGGAAGCCAGAGGGTGGGAATAGCAGGATGGAATATGTCCAAATGAGGTTGATGAAGGAGAAAGAGGTAGGAGACGAGGAGACAACACATGGAGAGGCCGTAAGAGAGAGGGGAATCACAGATGAGCTGGCCAAAATGGAGCCACCAAGAGAACCTGACACAGAATGGTGTGAATGATGGAGATAACTTTGGGAAGGCATAAATATGAAGGTCCCTCCAATCCTGAATGAAGGCATCCAAACCTAAAGCCTGAGTATGAGAAACCAGAAAGATGGCAATTTGATGTTCAGATGAGTAGTAAAAGCATCTATTTACAAGATTCCCAGAATACAGCATAGCCATCAGAAAACCTGAGGATCTAGGAACCACACTGAGGAAAGGACCTTGTGAGGATGCAATAAGCAATCCACAACAAGGTTCAAAGCACCAGAAATATAGCAAGCAAAGAGCTGTATCCAGTGCCCATGGGCCCAGAATATATGTTCCGGAGTACAAATATGTTACATTCTAGAAACTTTTACAAATTTTGAGTTTCCTTTTTGAATTTCTGAAGAAAAAAAAGAAACATATCATATTATTAAGCATACATACAACTCTGTCTTTTGGCTTGCTAAATATAAAAATTTCATTTATTTTTAAAAATTCACAAAATCTAGCAATGCACAATTTTTATATTTGTTTATAACTCGCTCTACAAAGATTTAGTTATATAATCAGAAATATTTTATATGAATCTAATGGTAGCTTACAGAGTTTATGTTTTAGTATATGTTGAGTTTTTATGTTTAATATATATCATAAAAAAAATTGCTAGCTTCCCATCCGCCTACACCAAGTTTAACTAATAACTGAAACTACATGTAATAATTCAATATTTTGGCAAGAAATAGGCAATAACATGGTAACTACTTTATAAAAAAAAATTCTACCTAAAATGTGGAAAATGTTTTTTCCAGTGTAAACACTCCTCATGAAGTTCATCCTGAAGCTTCACATGATCTTTCTCACTGAACAACATGCTGTTAACATCATCTAACATTAGTTGAACTTTCTGAGTTTCTTGTTGCTCAATTTCCTGTCCAAACAGATAGGAAAACAATAAAGAAAACAGCTCATATATTTATTTAACAAATCAATGATAAAATTAGAATGTTTTATCATCATAAACTACACAATTATTAAATGCACGAAATGTAAAACTTTTTTGGTAAAAATATTAAGTACTTTTTAACTGTAGCAAATACTACATTTCTCATACATTTATATTATAAGCTAAAACGACACCATAGAAAAAGAGTTAATGAGCCAAAAATGTTTAACTCATGAAGTATCTGAAAGAAAACACAAAACACATCAAGGATTTCCCAGTTGAAACAGAAGTTACAACATTGTGAGTTTGTTAGAAATCATAAACAATACCTCTGGAAGTTGGAATTAGGGAAACTAAGTAACATTAGAGATGAGTGATTATGGAATTTTGGTAATTGATTAATCATCAGGCTCATTAATTAATCACAATCAACTAATCAATTATTCCCATACGAGTTGAATAGTTGGAATAATTGAAAATAGTAATAATCAGAAATGATAATTTTGATTAGTTGATTAGTTTTGTGAGTCATGACACTAATTGATTAATCTGAACATCCTTAGATCAGTCAAAAATAATAATCAGAAATCATAATGGCAATATTTTGATTACTTAGATATTTGGAATTATCACAAACAGTAATAATTGGAAACACTAATTTTGACTTGTTGATTATTCAACTAATTTACATGATACTAATTGGTGTAATCAATACTCATACTTGATTATACTGAATAACCAATTTAATTTCCTGGCTTTAAGTAACATAGGTGTATAAGCTTCTTTTTAAAGCTTAAAAATTATTTAAACTTAATGTTAACAGCAAGGGGTACAGACAGCTGATTGCAGCATTTTTGTATGTGATGACAAAAAACAGTTTTCTTTTTTTAGTTTAAATATGAAATGAGCAATTTACAAAACAGATAAGAAACTTAGCACCTTTTAATAACTAGGCAAACTCAGTTTTCACTTCTTTATTGCTCCGTTTGAATCACGTATATTCTAGAAACTTTTACAAAATTTCTGAGGAGATATATATATATATACTGCTAGAAAACCCCATCTCAGCCACAGCCACAGAGCAGGGACAGGTAGATTTAATACTTTCTCTTATTTCCCACTTGATGCAGTATTTCTGGAGAGAGAAGAATTCCCTATGAGGCATCATTAACCATGTGGTCAGTTCTAACATCTCTAGTATACAATGTTGTGTAAGTAATAGGACACAAATGTGTTAGGGGTCATTCATTTCTACCTGCAAGATCTCATCCAAGAGACATGTACAGCTAGAAGTAAGAGAAGCCATGAGATGAGGAACTTGATGGGAAGCAGAGTTATCTTCCATGGAAGAATATGCAAACTGGAAGAGTTGTTTAAACCAACCATCAAAATGGAAGAAGATAAGTTACAAGAGGAAGAGGAATCCCATGACAAGATGAAATGATGTCCATTTTCTCAAAAGGGGAAAGTATGGGCAAGGAAGGAGTGGTCTGGGAATAAATTCAACTTGTCCCTGGTGTAATGACTGCAGAGAGCATCCAAGGCAAAATGTCAGTGTCACTTCTTCCTCAAGCAAGAAAATAAATTTTTGGGGAAAGATGATACAGGGAATCAGTGGACAAAGGTTCAAACAAGGAATACATGGGAGCCATGAGAACTAGACAGAGGTTCCAGTCCATAAGAACAACCAGACAAGAAGGATGAAGGTTGAGAAAGAATTGGGAAAAGTCCATAAGAACTATAAAAATAAGAGAAGAATGGCTGGGGAAGAGATAAAAGATCATTGACAGACATGTATAAAGAAATTGGATAGTAATCCTGACTCAGAGCATTCACAACCAAAGCTACATATTCATAGACTAGTAACCAGAAAAGTATACAAACCAGGTGGCAAGGGAAGTCACAAACGCATCAATGAAAGTACTTCCAAAGTAGAAACACAACCACTGAAACACCAAGAAATGGAAAGGCCACATCGGAATGATGTGGTCTAGTCAAGAAAACAGATCCACCACCAAGCTCAAAGTTCCTGGGCATGATCGGCTGACAACTGAATGCAGTGGTTGTGGGCCCTTTAGAGAGAAAGTCTAAAGTCAGAATGCAGAGTTCCCAAAAGTGAGTACCTCTATCTGTTGATATATGAAATGACAGTAGAGTTATATGAATGGATTGTAATATGATAACCAGTCAGATAAAATAGAAGCTGATGGCAAATTCCTTGAGCAACAAACATCTTATTGATATGAAGAAAGGTGCAGGTGTCTGGAACCAAACTCTACCTGTTTTACAATAGGAACTCTGTGCATGAAGGATGAAAAATTCTCCTACTAGTAGATGGCTATACTCTAATGCTGATTGCATCATAGAATGGTACAATACACATTAATATATGTATTGGTGGGAGTTCCACTCGAGGCTTGGCACCTGGACAAAAATCTTTTTAGTAGTGGTTTGAGATATAAACTCTCAGTTCTCAGTTTTGTGGAAACTTAAGTAGCATTTTTATTGTATTCTTTGCTATTAGATGTAGCTATCTTCTTATCTAGATTAGACAAGTTTAGAAGATTTTATAAAAAAAAAGTTAGAATTCAAAATTATGATTTGCCATGTGCCATAAAAGTGACCTCAACTAGGGTGATAGTTCTGACAGAATACTCCTTTATTAGTTACAGTGATATAAGTTTTAGACACTGTACTTACACCTTCTTCAGTCACAAATACACTGAGTGGTCACAAGTAAATAGACACCTAATTTTTCGTCATTTAACTGATTTATGCTAACTAATTTGTGTTCACAGAGCACTATACAAATGAAAATGGTCCACACACTAATTACCTTGTGCTACAACATGCCTGGAACTCAAAATTCTCTCAAATTGTCAGATTTTGTTAGAGGAAGGATAGTTGGTCAAGCAGATGGTGGAATAAGACAGCAGCAAATTTCGCAGAATTTGGAAGTCCCGCTTTCGACAGTCAACAGAATCATCGTGCAGTTCAGGAAACACGGCAAGGAAACAACTGAGCAGCATCCGAGTCGACCTGGTCCATCGGAGAGGACAAAAAAGGCTGTCAAGAGGAGCATCGAAATGGATCCCAGATTAACAACTGCAGAAGTGGCCAAAGTTGGTGGGATGAGCCCGAAATCTGTTCAACGGATTCTCCACAGAATGGGTTATCGTTGCAGAGCAGCTAGACGGAAGCCCTTATTAAGACCTGCCAACAAAGTCAGACGAAATAAGTAAGCAAGTGATATGATGACCAAGCCTCTGGACTTTTGGAAGACCGTATTGTTCTCAGATGAATCAAGATTCGCTCAA